AGGCATAGACCAATTAAGGAGCAAGGAATCCAATGGTGTAATCAAAAATAAGATTGAGCTTCATTTGATATTTAAAAAAGCTTATCTAAAAAATGAAAAATCTAGATAAGGCACTTCCGGTTACTTTATCAAAGTTCTGAGATAACCATTTTGTGCCGACTATTTATCTAATCATTCTAGTCAAAACCCCAAGTTTCTAGACTCAGTAACTTTTTTTATACAGCCAAAAATGTTTATGACTAAAAACAGATAATCCGCCATATTAAATACCCCCGGTTATCTGATTAACTTGAATTTAGTATCATTAGNCTCCCCGATACTGGCCGTCAACTTTGTCGGTGAATTTGACCAACAAATCAAGCAATTGTAAGTTTTTATTTTAAAGAAAAAATATGAAAACAGTTTGTAAACAAAAAAGTTAAAAATTTAAATGTTTGTGAAANGAAAACAATTTGTAAACAAAAAAAGTTAAAAATTTAAATGTTTGTAAAAGCGTTGCCTAGAAACAAAATTTAAGCGCTGGAACTCACTTGAACTCAGCATAAACATGCAAAATGTCTACACTTTTATAAACAAAAACTCACGCGTATTTCGATTTTTCTTTAAAGGTATTTGTGTAAACAAATCAATAAATCAAAACCATTTTTTAATAGTTTTAACTTGAAAAATCAAATACTTTAAAACAACATTGAACTAACTAAAGAACGTTACTTGTTTCAAACAATTACATTTAACTCGTAAAATGTACTACTTTAAAAAAATCATTTCTGCTTTTTTCAGCACCCTTTACCGCCAAGTGGTAATCATTCTCGGCAAAAAACTTTCATTACCTTTAAAGTCACTAATCTGTCTAATGTACGCAATACTGATAGTTCGAATTATCATCATTAGCATTTGTTTGTACTTTGACATTACTGCATACTTTAAGTACGATGACGATGGGCGAGTCATCTACGAGTCGTCAATTCCTCAAAAGTACCTCTTTATTATCCATACCTTAGTTCCGCTCTTCTGTTTGCGTCTTTTCCACATACTTTACATCAAACGTGATAGGCAAATTTAGGATTATCTTTATGATTTAATAGTGCGCAATCGAGATCAAATTTCAATAAGTTTCAAAGCTGACTTGCAGTCAAAAAACCGTCAAAAGAGCAAAACTGCAGGCCGAAGCTGGTTCTGTCGGTCTGAAAAACGTTTTGGCATACAAACCTTTTTAACAGAGCAACAACCAGAAAAACTGCGTTACTATCCTGATTTAGAGCTAAATCTACGCATAAGATGCATCAAAGTTTTCTAGGTTTTTTAGCTACTGACCAACTTTTTTCTAGTGTTCTTTTTTGTTTCCGACGTTTTGAGCGTGTACAGCTATGCAGCGGAACGGGCGTCACTAGATGCACCTTTGCACATTCTTTCAAATATTCTGCTTCACATTGATAGTAGCTTTAGCAACTACTTTACCGATGTAATGTACATCACTGTAGTGTTCATCTTCTACCTGGTGTGTCACGTCTACGTGGCACAGTTCAGTTTGGTCAATAGTAGGCTTACCAAAGTGAAAGAAAGACTATCTGCTGGTGGTGGCGGTGGTGGCCGTAGTTATCATTTATTCTTTCGAGTTGTCAGTGTTTATCGCGTCTCCCACGCCCACCTGACTGTTTTCATTTTGCAGTTTAACCAAAACGTGGTCTCTAAGTTTTTCTCCTCCTACATCTACCTAATATTGCCTTATCGAGCCTACAGTGATACAGTCAAATACTTTCAGCTAAGCACTCAAAAGTCGTACTCCCTCATTATTACATTTTTGATTATTCAAGTCACCAATTGGTTTTTTCTAACCTTGATGACTTCGTTTGTCGCTAAAGTGAACACTAAAATTAGCTGTTCAGGGCGAGATTTGGCGGCGATCTTTGCTGGCAAGGGCTTTTTGGCAACTGGTGGGGGAAAACAGCACAACTGGGCGCACCGGTTTGAGTCAATCTGGAGTCGAGAAACGCTCAAGTTGGCCACTTACTTTGAAATGATCTGGCGAAGTGAGAAGGAGCTGGCGTTCACGGCTGGGCAACATAAAACAATGAACTGGAAGTTTATACTTGATGTAAGTTGATGTCTGAAAATTCCGCCATTTTACTATTTTCATTTTCTTTTCTTTATCAAATGTTAGCTGCTCTTTCTTTATTCCACATTTTTACTCTTCTTTGGTAAAATAGTCAACAGACTTTAGCCGGTAAAAAATGTATAAACTTTTTTTGTATTTTTTTAAAGTTTTTGAACATCAAAATAAAATTTTGTTTTTTAAAAACATTTTATTTTACACAACTAAAAAGTTGCGTAAAAAAGAGAATAAAAAATCCACTCAATGCAAATGAAATCTTAATCCTCAAATCTAAACAGAGGTCCTCTCCCCCCGCTCAGCCACCACCTTGATTGACGCTAGTGTAAATTGAGGTGATCATCTTGGGGTGGAGGCTGGTGGAAGAGGTGGAGCTGCCATCAGCGGTGCTCTCCTCAATGCGACCACGCCCTCCGAATTTGAACAGTCGCAGACTGGAGGAGGAGGTGCCGGCAGGGTGCTTCCTTCGCTTCTTCAGTGGACTTCCCAGCGGAAGCAGCGACTTGATGCGAAACTGCCTGGAGGGGGCGGTTTCCTGCCGCTTTGGTCCAGGTCCAGGTGCCTGCTTAGGCTGTTTCACTGCAGCAGCAGCAGCAGATGATGGTGCTCGCTTATGTTTCTGATGTTGCTGAGTTGCTGGGGTCGAGGACGCTGGTGAAGAAGAGGAAGAGGAGGCGGAGGCACTACCTCCTCGAGCCTGTTTGGCAGCCTTGGCAGTGGACATTTTGGAGTGCATGCTGCTCTGATTAGGCTTACTGATCGATTGCTTCTTTGACTTGCTTGACTTGCCTGACTTTTGGTTCTTCTTCCCGGCTTTGCCATGCTTAGCATCCTTCTTGTCCTTTTTGTCCTTCTTCTTGTCTTTCTTATCCTTCTTATCCTGCTTCTCCTTCTTCTTCCTTGACTTTGACTTTTTCTTACTTTCTCCCGCATCCTTTTTTACCTCCTCCTCCTCATCACCATCATCATCTTTCTTTCCACAACAGCAGCAGCAGATGATGATGATGCCGATGATGAGAAGAAGCAGCAGTGCACAGCCGCCCACGCCGCCGGCAATTAGGAAGAGAAGCTCTGTTTGGAGAAAGTTAAAATTAAAAAGTGGTTTGAGAAATCAAATACAACAACAATTTGATCCATTCTACTTACTTTGATCAGTGCTGTTGGTGGTGGTGGTGCTTCCATTGGTAAAGTTGAGTGAACTGTGCTCGCCGGTCACCGACGTGGAAAAGACGGGAAATGATGTCGATTCTCCCGAAGAAGAAGTGGTTGAAGGAAAACCGGTGCTGGTGATGTCACTTGTCTCAGTTGTGGTTGTGGTGGTGATGGGAATTGGGGAAATGGTGGTGGTGGTGGTAGTGATCGGAATCGTAGTCAAATCAGTGGTCGTTGTGATGACCGTCGTTGTCTTGGGAGCTTGGGTAGTGGTAGTGGTGGTGGTGGTGGTAGTTGTGGTAGTGGTCCTCTTTTTGGTGGTGGTGCTGGTGATTCTCTTCGTCGTGGTAAAAGGAGCTTTCGTCGTAGTAGCTTTTGTTGTCGTAAAATAAGGTTCTTTGGTGGTTGTTGTAGAAGGAGCTTTTGTTGTTGTTGTTGTGCTGACCGGCGGTTTCACCGTCGTCGTCGTTGAAAAGAGTGGAATTTGCGACTGCATTGTACTACTACTACCACCACCAACTGTTGAGCTATCCATTGGGAAGCTATCATTCTCCCGAAGTGCGTCATGCTTTGTGTGAATGTCTGGCATTTCAGTCTGTGTGGTATCTGATGACAGCTAAAATACTGAGAAAAATAATGGTGACGAGATGTGAATAAACTGCCTGTCTTTTATTGAGTTGCAACACCGATTTTTTTTGTTAGCATCATTCAACACTTCGATTTTAGAATTTTTGAGGAAAAAGCAGATAAAACTTTCGTAAAACTGACCAGCACTTTTTCAAAACCTGCAAAAAAGAAAAACTGAATCGATTCTAACTTGACACCTTACCCAAAAAAACAAGCGCACCGAAAAAGCCTAACAAAAATGGCCGTCGACGTTGAGGCGGGCAAGCAAACTTCCCAGTCGAAAAACTTTGCCAGTGGCGGCAGCGGGAGCAATCCATTCGACGATGCCGTCGTCCGCCGCGGCTTCGTCGCCAAAGTCTTCGGCATCCTCTCGATGATGCTCGCCGTCACCTTTGGCATTCTGCTCTTCTTTATGTTTGTGTAAGATGAAGTGGTGTCCCCATCTTTGCTAGAAATAAGTTCCTTTCACCTTCTAAAATTCCTTAATCTTACAGAAAGCCAGCATCCGACTGGCTTCTTCACCACATGACGGCCGTCTTCTTTCTCTCCCTGGCCGTCTACATCAGCACGGCCATTCCGCTCATTTGCTGTCCGCACCTCGGCCGCCTGGTGCCGCTCAACTTCATCGTCCTGGGCATCTTCACGCTGGCCAGCTCCTTCATGATCGCCCCGCTGATCTTCAGCTACGAGCTGGACGTGATCCTCATTGCCATTGGCGTCACCCTGCTCATCGTCGTCCTGGTGACCGTCTTCAGCGCCTACACCGCCATCGACTTCACGCAGTGCTTCTGGGTGATGGCCCTCGCCCTCTGCGGTTTTGTCCTCACCACCGCAATCATGTACGTGGTGATGGCCTTCACCGGTGTACCAAAGTGGTACCTTCCGTTGGAGGGGGGCCTTGGCGTGGCCATTTTCGTATTCGTAAGTTTTTTGGTGGAAGTGGTCGTCTTTTTGTGATAACTTATGTCAACTCAATTCGTTCCACAGCTGCTCATCTGCGACATGCAGATGATGCTGGGCGGGCGACGATTTCAGTACTCGCCCGAGGACTACGTCTATGCCGCACTGAGCATCTACGTAGATATTATCAACCTTTTTCTCTACCTATTAGAGCTTTTTGGCCCCTCTCGCTAGCTTTTTCAGCCGTTTGCAGTCAAGGTCTTCTTGCACCTTCTTCAGCTGACCAACTTGTTGACCAAACTTGTAGCTCTCTTTAATTGCTTTTTGACAATTTCTAAAAAGATTTTTAAAAAAAAACGTCACTGCAGTTTTGAATGACTCCTTCCACAAACATCTGACGTGTTTGTTTGTTGATAAATTGTTGTGCTAGACGTTTTGCTTCGGCATTTCTGCTCCAGCTTCTCGTGAACTGAACACCTCATACGCCCCCACATTTTGCGCAAACAGAATAGTTAAAGATCATCTTCAAAAACAACAGCGACGACAGCAGCATGTTTAAGACAAAGAAGAAGAAGAAGATCAAGGTGGAAAAACAGGCGGACAAAGCTGAGGAGGAGAAGCATCGGGAGCCGACCAACCTCCTCCAGCTCACCGACGACTGCCTCCTGGTGCTCTTCGCCGCCCAGCTGACCCTCCTCGAGGGCCTGCAGCTGGGCAGCACCTGCCGCCGACTGTACGGCCTCTACCGGGACTCCTGGCGCAATCGCCGCTCTCTGGTGCTCTACCGACACGACCTGCACTACGTCAGCTGGCTGGATGACAGCACCGTCGATGAATGCCTGTGGGATAACGACTACTATGATGATTGCTTTAACCCACCGCCCATCATTGACCTGCCACCGCCGCCGCCTCCTTCACTTGACTACTTGCGCCTTCTAAAGTACGACAAACTCGCCGCCCTTGAGCGTCTCTTCGCCCGACTGCCCAACCTCCTTTGCCTGGAGATCCGGGACGTGGAGGACACTGAACAGGCGCTTTTCCTTCTGGTGGCGGCGCTGAACGGCGCCGCCTGGCACACCAAGCTGCAAAGTCTCAAGCTGCACTTCAGACAACCGGAGAGAACGTTTGAATTTGACAGCTACGATGAAGACGATGAGAACGATGATGGCGATGAGGAAATGGTGCCTCCCACTAACACCACCACCACCACCGCTCCGATCATCATTTTCGAAGAGCAGCAGCTGCAGCTGCCCTCCTTGAAGCACCTCTCACTGTGCCTGCACAAGAACATCGACTCACCTATTGTCCAGCTGGTCTTCCACTCGCCCCTACTCTTCCTCTCGGTCCTTCCTCAGCTCACCTCTTTCAGCCTCTCCGCCGCTAATGGCTGTGTGGCTGAGGGCATTCGCTTCCTGCGCGAGCACATCTTNGCTCCGATCATTTTCGAAGAGCAGCAGCTGCAGCTGCCCTCCTTGAAGCACCTTTCACTGTGCCTGCACAAGAACATCAACTCACCTATTGTCCAGCTGGTCTTCCACTCGCCCCTACTCTTCCTCTCGGTCCTTCCTCAGCTCACCTCTTTCAGCCTCTCCGCCGCTAATGGCTGTGTGGCTGAGGGCATTCGCTTCCTGCGCGAGCACATCTTCAGCAGCTCCTCGAGCTGTCCTCAGCTGGCCGCCGCTGCGGGCACCCCAGCACTGCAGGTGGCCTTCGTCTCAAATGCTGAGAACTTCAGCAGTGTCTTGCTTCCCGGATTGCCGATCAGCTATGGCAAACCAGTGGAGAGCACCGACCAGAAGGTGCTGGAGTGCATCACCCGCTTCTACGTCAACAACGGCCACGAGATGACCGACCTGACGCTGCCAAAGCTGGTCAATCTGCGAAAGGTGAGCGTCCATCTGCTGGACGCGAAGAGTGCGGGAATCCGCACTCATACCTACTATCCGCGCCTCCTCAAGTCGCTGGCCACTTTGCGGCACCTCGAGGTGCTGGAGGTGACGCGGATCGCCGACCTGCACCAGTCG